AAATTTCTACTATAATATAATTATCTTATATTAATAATTTTATAAAACATTTTATGTAGAAAGATCACATAGTAAGATAAACTGCGTAAATATTATCAACAAATATTTAAATTTATTTTAATATTGATGTATTTTATTTTAATTTAAATTATTAAACTATATATATATAATGGACTCTGCCGTCAGTTTCGACGTATGAGGATCTGACAGCTTATTGATTCAGTTATGAAATTTTATGCGAAAATCTTAAGTTGCATTTAAGATCCGCTAGTATATATATATATATATATATATATATATATAGTAAATTATATTTTTTATTTTTACTTTATTTTATTGTGCGCGCGCACGCACGCACACACACACACACACACACACATATATATATATATATATATATATATATATATATATTATTGAACAATAAAAAATATTAAAAAATTAATATCTTCAGACACGCTGGGTTGTATATTAATATTCTTTCGTTTTTATTATTATTCCATTTAGATTCCTCGACTAGTTTCGGCCAATATGGCCATCATCAGGAGAAAAATAATTTTCTGTTTGCTAGTAGCAATGAACTACAGAAATGAATGTCTTGATGGAGGAAATGAACTTTTGTCTGTAGTTTTCATTTTTTTTTTTTTTTTTTTTTTACTTTTTTCACTTTTTTTTACATGAATTTTGGTCAGACCTTGTGTTGGTCAAACAGTCTCTTTTAAGTTGTTATTTAAGATAAGAGCTGGATGGATTCATGCTGCTCTGAATTCCCTTGATCATTTTGACAGTTTTATTGGTTTCTGGAAAGGGGATGTGTCTCTGTTAAGTGTGTGTGTGTGTGTGTGTTATTTTGTTCTTAGGGAGTGAGTGAGTATGATGTTTGTAAGCTTGTATATTACTATGGGTGTGTGTTATCATTTGACTCATTAGGGAGTGAGTGAGAATGATACAAGTGTGTAAGCGTGTATATTCGTGTGCGTGTGTGTATAAGTGTGAGGCCTCAACACCTCCGTAAGCATGTCTGTCTTGTGTGGGTGAGAAATGTGGGTAGGTTTTAATTTGTAAGGTTATATACTAATATTATCTATATTGTTAAATTTATGGTTGAGCCCGGCAGGATAGTGCGTTTTTAAACGTTTTATCCACATATTTTCATGAAACTCTAAAATCTTTCTAATGTTATCAGCTTTATATATATATATATATATATATATATATATATATATATATGTCGCTAAAATATATATTGCAATATAAAAAAGAACTAATACATTTTAGATTTACATTTTAAAATCGAATATAGAATATATATAAAAAGAATAGAATTGACGATTTTTTTTTACGGAAAACGCCCTTTCTAATTTACCTTCCGTTCGTTCATCCATCCGTCTGTCTTTCCTTCTTTCTTTCCTTCCTCCTTTCCTTCCTTCCTTCCTTCCTTCATTCATTCATTCATTCATTCATTCCTTTCCAACTGTTGCTTCTCTACTTTTGGTCCTTTCTATCATATTCCTTCTTTCAATTGGATATTCTTTTTCTTTCTTTCGTAACTGATATCTTCCTTCTATCGTCTTTTTCCTTCTTTCTTTTTCATTTTCTTTGTTTCTTCTTTCATTCTTTATTTCTTTCATTTTATCATTTCTTTCTTTTATTATTTCTTTATTTCTACTTTCATTCAATCTTTCAGTCATTTTATCTTTTCTTTCTTTTTATCATTTTCTCTATTCTTTCATTCATCCTTTCTTTCTTTTGATATTTTCTTTCTTTCTTTCTTTTTATCTGTTATCGACTTTCGTTCTTTTTTATTTCTCTTCCTTCTTTCAATATTTCTTTCTTTTTTCTTTCTTTCTTTTCATCATTTTCATAATTCCTTCTTTCATCTTTTCTTTCTTTTTATCTGTTATCGACTTAACTTCATTTTTATTTCTCTTCCTTCTTTCATTATTTCTTTCTTTTTTATTTTCATCATTTTCTTTATTCCTTCTTTCATCCTTTCTTTCTTTTTATCTTTTCTTACTTTCTTTTTATCCGTTATCGACTTTCCTTCTCTTCTACTTCTAGTTAACTTTCGTTGTATTTGACATTTTCTTTTCTATGTGTTCCGTTGTTTTTTCTATATTCAATCGACTTTTTTAATTCAAACATTTTTTTTAAGCATTCAACCCAAAGCAAGGCGGGAAGCCACTAGCACGCAAGAGGTTACAGAGTAGGAGCGAGAACAAAGATGAGTGACAGAGGAAAGGATGAAGAGACGGTTAGGGGATAGATCAGGGCATCTGGAGACGTCAATTGACGTTACATTTGAATAGTTGGAGATGATAGTTATCAGGAAAACAAGAAATGAGGAGGAAGTTCCACGGGCGAGAAGGGCGAGAAGTGCGAGACATGAAGCTATTGGAGTAGAAGAGACGGCTACATTTAACAGTTTCGTCTGTGAAAGAGCGAGATGCCAGCCTAGTTGAGCGCTTAAATTCATGAAGTCTGGGAACCAGCGAAAGCAGCTCATCGGAGCAGTTACCGTGAAAGTATTTGTAAAAAAAGACAGTGGGAGGCAGCGGCACGTCTGTGAGAGATCGGCTGCAGATGAGATGCCAGATCAGGGCCAATTACGTTGCATATCCGTCTTTAGATTTTATCAAGGACCTTGAGACAATTAGAAGGGGCTCCAGACCATATATGGCAGCAATACTCCATGCAAGGGCGAATGGTTGATTTGTAGATTTGAAGGATCAACTCCGGCGAGAAAAATTTCCTGGCGCGGCATAGGGAGCTAACTTTCCTTGCGGTGGACGAAGCTATTGACTCAATGTATTCGTTCCATCTCAGGTCAGCGGACAATATGAGACCGAGTAGTCGCAAAGAGGTGTTCTCGTGGAGTTTGAGCGTCAGACATTCTAATGGGAGGAAGCGATGGTACTCTCTGGTGAATAATAAAGAGCAGTTTTGTTTTTGAGGCATTAAAGTTAACCAGCCAATACCCACCCCAGTCCACAACCGATTCGAGCAGGTATTGGCTGGTTAGCTTTCTTTTCTTTTTTTAATATTTTATATTTCTTAGATACACATGTTATGTCCTGTATCTGAATATTTAAGAAATATAAACTAAAGCTACTTTTTAGATTTATATGTTAAGAATTCATTTATTTATACTGGAGTATTACGGTATATAAAAATAACAAAATTAAGGACGCTAATTTTTTTTTTTATATAGATTTAAATGTAATCTTTTTTTAATCTTTTTCTCATATTTATGTCCCTTAGCTACACATGAAACATATATTCTATATATCATAACGATATTATAATTAATCTAAAATGTAAGGATTACATAAAAATATATACGGCATATACGGAATCCCCTTCTTGACACAACACAGTTTGTTAAAAAATCTGCAAAAAATAATCGTAAAGAACAAGCAATTTCTTCGCTGAAGAGGATTTAAGGAAAAACAGTCGCCTTTTTTTGATTGATCGAATAAATAAAAAAGGGAAACTAATTTCTTCATTAGTAAATGATTAAATAAAGAATAAATAGGAAAATAATTATAAATTTATCGTTTCACCTAATTTCATCAGAAATTTTAGGAGGTGAAATAACGCGGAGTTAGGTTTCAACTTTTATATTCAACTAGCAGCATGGCCCGGCGTTGCCCGTGCTTGATTCAAAAATCGTACGACTCATACAGCAATCGCTATCACTTGACTTAAAATATATTTGCCCTTCCTTGCCTTTAAAGGAGTGTCCTTTGCCGGGCTGATGTTGCTACATGCCTTACTTCTTGCCTATCTCATACTGCGAATTTTTTCTAAGCTCTATAGTAAACATTAAATCTGTTACGAAAAAAGAACTAAACAAAATGAACACAAAACGACCAGCTTTAAAAAAGGACTCGTAACTGGAAAAACCGAATAAAAAAAGAATAATAACAACAAATACTTTTTCACACTCAACCCAGTTCTGCGGAATCAGAATCAACGTTGAGTTTAAGCAAGCGAATGAGCCAATTGGAGTAAAGTGCCATGCAGATTTAAATTTTTCCCACTTGTGACGAATACAGCTATCGATTTTTTTTTTCATCATAGTCAACATTCGTGTCAGTCAGCTGTTGGCTCTCACGCTGGCCAATAGAATCTTCCTGCCTATTCGTGCCAGCCAGCTATAGGCTCTCACTCTAGCCAGTACATAATGGCCGCAAACTACATGAAAACTGCCGTAGAAGAATGAAAAAAAATAGATTATTTCCACTATCGATGGGAGTTGGGAAATGCAATGTCGGTCTTGGCCTTCCCGCTAACTTGGAGCATGTGCATGTCAATTTTGGGGCAAATCCGTCGAAAATTGCGGCCGTGCATTCGTTACACACACACACACACACACACACACACACACACACATCCTGCCTTTTATAGATAGAGATGTTATTTTGTTTTCATTCGTTGTGTAGACGTCACGTGTACATCTTATGGCGTTTGTGTTTATGTATGTATCGTTTTTTACATTCTATATCATGTTTTTATTAGTTGTTGTTGTGTAGAAAACCTATGTAAAATTCTCTACGCCTATTATTGAAACATGGACTTATCCATTCGCTATGAGTAGGACGTTGCTCATGGAACAGTGACAAAAAGTGAGTCGCAAAGGCGTAGTTCTTTTCAGTCGTACGCTTGTCGCACTGAACTCCTGTATTCCCAACTCATGTTCTCGTGTAATTAAACCTTTCTTCACTCAACCTTTCACTTCCAGTATTTATCTTACAGTCTTTCTAACCAGCAACTATGAGCGTTATACATACTTTATAACAGACTCTAAGAATTATTTTTTTGAGATAATAATTATTTGGTGATAAAATTCTTACTAATTAACCCATAGCTGGGGGAGAGGTGGTGGAGTGATACCTTTCCCAAAAGTATTCGCGCGTAAATGAATATAAAGAACCCAACTGGAATTGGAACTCAGCTCTCCGATTAACAATTCCGAGCCATTATCCACTACACAGCTCGCACTTGATATTTCCAAACGGTCACCCATCTAGGTACTAACGAGGCTCGACGTTGCTTAATTTCGGTGATCGTAAGGGAACCGGTGTTTCAACGTGATGTGGCCGTAAGCTTAGCGACTATGAGAACTATAAAGGGTGGTCTAAAAGTCTTGTCACCCCTACATAATATAATTTTTTTTTAATCTATGATAGCTGACACGAGCTTCTACAATTTGGAAGAGAGGTAGGGACAAGACTTTTGGGACCCTTTCAGTAAACATTAGAACAGGAAGATGATGAAAAAAAAAAAAAAAAACGAAAGAAAAGAAAAAAGGGGGGTAAAAGAAAAGAAAAAAAAAAAAAAAAGAAAAGAACGAAAAAAGAAAGAAAAACGGGCTGTTTTCTATTCAAATAATGAAAACACATTTGATTATAAAATACATTATGTCGTCACACAAATTAAACAGCAAAATAACTCCTTTTCCTAAAAGTTATATTTCTACATAAAAGAAACAATAATAATAATAATGTGTTCGCCAAAAATATCTGACTGTTGAATTCGGTTTAGCCATGTTAAAAAGGCTCCTAATGCGATTTAATAACAGCCAGATCTCTAGGTTGTTTATTCATTTTCTACGGATTATCAACCCGTTGCAAGTTATTTAAAGCCAGAAAATCTTTTCAAACTGACTAACCTTTTCTACATCTATTACTGAAACATGGAACGTCTGCTCATGGAACATTAGCAAAAAGTGGGTCGCAAAGGCGTAGCATTTTTCAGTCGTACGCTTATCGCACTGAACCCCTGTACTCTTAATCCATGTGATTAAATCCTTCTTTACAAAACCTTTGCGCTTCAGTGTTTTCCTTACGGTCTTAGAAACCAGCAACTATGTATGAGCTTTGTACGAACATTATACCAGTTGTGTAGACGTCATTTTTTTTACTTTTGTTTCTCTCTTTGTTTTGTTCCCGTTTCTTTCTTTTTTTTTTCTAATTTTCCTTCCTTCTTTCCTTCCTTCCTTCCTTCTTTCCTTCATTCCTTCCTTCCTTCCTTCCTTCCTTCCTTCCTTCCTTCCTTCCTTCCTTCCTTTCTTCCTTCCTTCCTTCCTTCCTATCTGTTACTTCTCTCCCTTTAGTCTTTTCTATCTTCTTTAACTTATTCCTTCTTTCTATTGGATATTTTTTCTTTCTTTCATAACTTATACCTTCCTTCTATCTTCTTTTTCCTTCTTTCTTTTTATCATTTTCTTTACTTTCTACATCCTTTCTTTCCTTTTATCTGTTATTGTTATTCGTTCTTTTCTCTTGACATTTGACATTCCCTCTATTTAATATTCTCTTTTCTATGTATTCATTTGCTTTTTTTATTTCATTCTTTCTTTCTTTCGTCTTTAACTTATTTATTTATTTCTCTTGTTTTCTGTTTCCTCCGTGCTCTTTCATTCGTTTAATTCAGTTTTTCTTCTGTAATTTTCTTTCAATCCCTCTTTATTTCTTTCTTTCTTTCTTTCTTTCTTTCTTTCTTTCTTTCTTTCTTAGATCGTTTTATAACGCTTTTTCTTCTCTTTTCTTTTTTAATTCTGAAGAAGGAAATTACTGGAAAGTAATTGAAACTCACCTGAAGCGAGCTGAATGTGTAATGCTCCTCATGCCAATGACACTTCCACCGAGCTTCACTACGGCTTTTGACTTCACTAATTTGATGCGTTCCTCTCGAATTTTAAATTGGGGTCATCAGGAGAGAATGTGCACCGTTTCGGGGCCTTCCTCTCAACGGTTTCAGTTGCACACCGCCCCTCCCTCACTGATGTGAGGCCCCATTATACAAGTTTTTCTTCATATTATGGTTTCTTTCTTTCTTTCTTTCTTTCTTTCTTTCTACTACGTCATTTTTACGTTTGTAATCGCTTTTTATTTTTACATTCTCTCTATTGTCCTTTTACACCCTTTCTTTCTGTTATTTCAGTTTTTATTTTGAAATTTTATATCATTCTTCTTTCTTTCTTTCTTTCTTTCTTTCAGTTAAATCAGATTTTTTTTCTGTAATTTCCTTTCCTTTTTCATTCTTTCAGCTGCTTCAGTTTTTCTTCTGAAATTTTTTTTCATTTTTTTTCTTTCTTTCAGTTGCTTCAGTTTTTGTGCTGTAATTTTCTTTCTTTCTTTCTTACTTTTACTTAAATTTTTCTTCCGTAAATTTGTTTCTTTTCTTTTATTTAGTTTATCGACTCTAATTTCCTTTTTCTTCTGTAATTTTCTTTCTTTCTTTCAGTTACATCAGATCTCCTTATGTAAATTTTCTTTCATTTTCCCTTTCTTTCAGTTGCTTCCGATTTTTCTTCTGGAATTTTCTTTCTTTCTCTTACTTCAGTTTCTATTCTGAATTTTTATTTCATTTTTTTTTCTTTCTTTTTCCTGTCGTTTCTGTTTTTTTCTGGAATTTTCTTTCTGTTACTTCAGTTTTTCTTTTACAAAGTTCTTTATTTATTTATTTATTTATTTCTATTCAGTCTTATGTATTTTTTTTTTTTTCTGTATTTCGGTCTTTCTTTCTTTTACTTCAGTTTTTCTTATGCAATTCTCTTTCTTTTGTTTTTTATGCTGCTTCATTTTACCTTCCGTAATTTTCTTTCTTTCTTTCTTTCTTTCTTTCTTTCTTTCTATAACTTCAGTTCTTCTGAAATTATCTTTTATTTTTCATTCTTTCTTTCTTTCTTTCTGTTACTTCCATCTTTCTTCTATAATTTTCTTCGTTTCGTTTCGTTTCGTTTCGTTTCGTTTTTTTTTTCTTACATTTAGTTCAGTTCTCTGATTTTCTTTCTTTCCTACTTTCTTTCTTTATTACTTCATTTCTTCTTCTGTAATTTTCTTTCTTTTTCCCCCACTTTTCCCTTTTCGGGGCGTGTGTGCGCACGCGCGTGTGTGTCTCATCCCAAGCCCTCCCAGCCGTGTAGCAATGTAGTCCAGAATAAATAAACCTCGAGGTACAATACACTCATCCTCGAATTTCTCATTTGAATCAATATTAACATTTGCCAATGGTTTTTCTTTTCTCTTATTTATATTCAGAGGCGAGCGGCTCTTTTTCCTTTTCTTTTCTTTCCTTTTCAATTTTTTTTTCGACTATTTTCTTTACATATTCAATTGTTGCATTATTTAAATATCCATATGAAACTAAACGTCCAACTGCACGTCTTTCTGACTTGAAGATTGAAAAAACATTTTCCTTTCAATGAACATCGGTTCGAAGATCATCATCACGTGACTTTAAATCTTCACGCAGACGGTATTAATCAATGGCTATTGACCAATCAGCGACTCGGTGTGGCTCCAGTATACACCAGGCGAGAAAACGAAAGAGGAAGTCAAGAAAAGAGTGGCTTCTGCTTAAAATGACGGTGGGTTTGATATCAAATAGATTTGACAATATGTGTTTTCAAGCAAAGGAAAGAAAGAAGAAAAAAGTCAACGTGGGATCCTAAGTGTTTGTTTGAGAGTTTCCTGTCCGGAAAGGTAGTCGCGAAAGATCCAAAATAGCGAATGAAATACTGGCTCTAAGCAATCGCCAGAGAATTGAGTCTCTCAGAGATCGATATGGAGTTAGGGCTCTAGAAAATGACTTAAAGGAAAATCTGCAATCGTGATGAACAAGATGTACAGCTCTATTGTGAAGACAAATTAGCATGAATTTTAAACGATTTTTGAACTGTTAGATTATTATAATTAGATTTTTTTAAAAATGAAAAAATTCTTGTAAAAATTCATTATTCATCGAAAATTTTTTATTTCTTCAGACACTAGTGTCCTTAATATAACTTATTATAAAAGCAATTAAAAGCTTTTCTACTTAAATACTGTCATAGTTTTATTGCTTTTTTTTATTTTACAATTCAGAGCAGATTTTTGAGGAAACGTGTAATCGTTTTATAAAAAAAATGGATTTACTTTCTCCAAAGAGTTCTGAAAGAATAGAAAGAGAAGAATGAAAAGAAAGAAAGAAAGAATGAAAGAAAGAATGAAAGAAAGAGAAGAATGAAAAGAAAGAAAGAATGAATGAAAGAAAGAGAAGAATGAAAAGAAAGAAAGAAAGAAAAAAAGAAAGAAAGAAAGAATGAAAGAAAGAGAAGAATGAAAAGAAAGAAAGAAAAAATGAATGAATGAAAGAAAGAGAATAATGAAAAGAAAGAAAGAATGAAAGAAAGAGAAGAATGAAAAGAAAGAAAGAAAAAAAGAAAGAAAGAAAGAAAGAATGAAAGAAAGAGAAGAATGAAAAGAAAGAAAGAAAGAAAGAAAGAAAGAATGAAAGAAAGAGAAGAATGAAAAGAAAGAAAGAAAAAATGAATGAATGAAAGAAAGAGAAGAATGAAAAGAAAGAAAGAAAGAATGAATGAAAGAAAGAGAAGAATGAAAAGAAATAAAGAATAAAAGGAAAGAAAGAGATGAATGAAAAGAAAGAAAGAAAGAATGAATGAATGAAAGAAAGAGAAGAATGAAAAGAAAGAAAGAAAGAAAGAATGAATGAAAGAAAGAGAAGAATGAAAAGAAATAAAGAATAAAAGGAAAGAAAGAGATGAATGAAAAGAAAGAAAGAAAGAAAGAATGAATGAATGAATGAAAGAAAGAGAAGAATGAAAAGAAAGAAAGAAAGAATGAATGAAAGAAAGAGAAGAATGAAAAGAAATAAAGAATGAAAGAAAAGAAAGAGATGAATGAAAAAAAAGAAAGAAAGAGAAGAAGGAAAAGAAAGAAGGAAAGGAAGAAAAGAAAAAGAAAAATGAAAAGAAAAAAGAAAGAAAGAAAGAAAGAAATGAAAAGAACATTTTTAATTTCACTATTTTGTGGTTTTCGCTCTAATCTGGAAATGAAATGGAATAATCTTAATCTATTCAAATCTATGATACATATCCCCATGAAATTAGAATTTGTCAATCATCCTTCAGTTCATGTGAGCAAGATCTTCAGCTTCTTCTTGAAAATTACCAGAGTTTGGTGAGTTCACAACATCACCAAATAAAGAGTCTATTATCCTCTGGGCAAAGAAGTTGAATCGTTCTATTTCACCAATTTCTGTTAGTGACCTCACATCTTGTTTCATAAGGCAGAGAAAATGGTCACTTCCCTGTTATAATAACAATTCAGTATTTATACGTCACATAGGTCGGTGAACTGGGGGTTTACCTCTGCTCAGGCACCAACCTCTGAAAAATATCCATATACCCTTTCTGTAATGTTTACCTTAATTCTTGACTACTGACAATATTTTTCCTTGTTTTCTGGACGTTCCTTTTGTGAAATCGTTAACAGTGTTTTTACATTATACATAAGATACATTTGTTCTATCAATAACACTTCTATTATATCCTGACTACTAACAACACCTTTCTTTTTCTTTTTCTTTATATTTCCAAGGTATTCCTAAAGCAAAATAATTTTGAAACTTTAATAAAATAATTAAAATAAAAATAGTTTCATATTTTTTCCTTTCCGTTGATTTCTCACATAAATTTTAAATAATTTTTTTTAAATATTTGGACATTTTTTCTGTCTCTTTCAAATTTAACATATGACATTTTGAAACCGTCGTCGAATTTTCTTTTTTGTTATTTAAAAAAAACAAAGCCTGGTTTGTTTGTGAATTTCAATATAAAATGGGTCAGTTTAGATCATTCCCCCACTAAAAAAAACTAATGTACACCCAGGTGCAAATTAAATGAAACAACCGATTTAGTTTCCTTTCTTTCACCATACGGTCAGTTTTAGACCCACTGGAGTAACAGGGTGTAATCGATTTTTATTTTTTGCCTCAGATTAGGTCATTTGCAATGGTGTGCATATAAATCTACTTTCGTGGTGTATGATGAAATTTGTTTGGCCTTGAAAAATATTGCGTCATACGTGATTACATCCGATTTTCATCACACCCAGACACTATTGTTTCGACTGTCGATTAGTTGTCTTACGGCCATTGTCTGCGAAGGATGTTACTCCAAGGAAGCGTACGAAAATTGTAACGCTGAAGGGAACACACTGGCAAGCGTTACCAGTGAGCAAATCAAAGTACTATCGACTGGTTGGAAACTTTCTTAAATCCAATCGAGAATCTGTGGTCAATCTGCAAGGGACGACTTCGTAGAATGGACATATTAAGTACTAACATGTGCACTGGGTCATGTTTCATTGGGAAAATACGAAAAAAATAATAATGAAATTACTCGTTTTGTTTCAATTAATTTGCACAAGGGTGTAACTCTAGTATAGCAAATGTTGCAGACAAAATTATAAAAATACTCTTTGTGTAGAAAATATTTCGATCATTGCTGTTTATTTGAAAGGTACTGTAGCAACAAAAAGCAAAATCATATTCTTGAAATTACAAATTAATCTTTGAAGTCGTCATGAGCACAAATTTAAATATATACTTAATTCTTATCAATATCAATAAAAAGATTGAAGATGGACACTTGTTATTATTATTATTATTATTATTGTTATTATTATTATTATTAAAGTCGCCATTACTAATGAGTAAAGGAGAAGTATGGCTGATCGGAAATGCACATATAAATATTGATTATGAATCTTTTGTACACGATGCCTTCGTAAAATTTTATCTTTTTTTTCTCGAGATTTTCTTTTATGATGATCCATTGGAGAAAAAAAAAATATAACCACCTCTGAATACAGGTGGAGACGTATTTGATTCATATTTTGGTTACTGAAGTGTACAGATTTCTAATTGTGTGTCGGATAGCTGTTGTTTGTTCATGGAAGCAACATTAAGATTGATCGCATTTGCATAGGGCAACAATAAAAGAAACGGAATACATAAAAATATATAAAGGATAGTAGAAGGAAGAGAGAAAATAAACGGAACCTGTAGAAAGAAAGAAAGAAAGAAATGATGACCAGTTAAAGGAAGAGAGGCTGGAAGAAAAATAGCAAATCGAAAAGAAAGAATCTAGTCAAATCGAAAACGAGGCAAGGCAGAACGCAGCAAAAGTAATGAGACACAACAACAAAAAAAAAGAACAAAAGGAAGCAAGTCACAAAGAAAAGTAAGACAAATATAAAAGAAGAAGGAAAAAAATCGATGAATATTGTAGAGAAAGCGGGAAATAAACCTAGGCATTTTTTTAAACGGAATAAAATGGAAGCGTTAAAAAAATAAATAAATCAAAGAAATGGATAAAAAATGATGAAGAAAAATACAAAAAAAGAAAATGGAATATTATAAAGATAAAAGGAAGGACATTAGAATAATGAAGAACGTTAGCAAGAAAGTAAAAAGAAAAAGAAAGAATTTGAAAAAGAATTGCCTAAGAAAGAATATGTCGACAAAGAAGTAAAAAGTAAAAGAAAGAAGAAAATAGTAAAAAAAAAACAAAATAATAAAGAACAAAAGAACGAATGAAAGTTGAAGAGTAAAACTTATGAGGAAAATAGAAAAGAAAGAAAGAAAAAAGGAAGAAATCGTAAAGAAACAAAACAAAGAATGATGGGAAAAAAATGAACAATAAAAAACTAATGAAAATGATGCTAAAAGAAAGAAAATAAGAAAAAAGAAAGAAAAAGAAAGACAGAAAAAATATACAAAATAAAAATGATAAGAAAAAGAAGTAAAAGAAAGATGCAAAAAGAAAATGACGAAAAAAAATAGGAAACAAAAAAGAAGAAAAGAAGAAACATGCCAAAGAAAGAAACAAAATAAAAAATGAAGGAATGAAAAACAAAAGGAATGTATGAAAATAAACTAAGTCTTTCCTTTGAGCTCCCATTTGTTAAAATTGCCATTTGATAACAGTGCGGCCTTGCCGGTTCACAGGTGCATCCCGTCAGATCATCAGGTTTTTCTGGGTAATATAAAAGAATTTTTTAATAGCCAAGGACCTGAAACATGATGTGGCGTTTCTGACCAGCGCAAATAAAAAGTGGTGACTTGGTTTTACCCAATAAGCATGTGGCTTAATTACGCTTTT